TAATTCCAGAATTTGATGTGCTGCTCTATGAAATCGGACAGTCTTATAAAGAAACTTAAGTCTATTGCATCGGCAAGGAAATGCTGATTGGAAAACATAGCTAAGAACTATTGCCTTCTTTCATATTCCATTAAGCTTTCCCTATGTGCGGGTGTCAGAAAGGGTTTATTTGTTCTAGCTGCTCCACCCATATACTTTAGGAGACCATCCAAACACTATCATACTTCAGTCTCTCCTAACATTTGCCTGCAATTTAAAGCTTAACTCCGGGCACCATCATTTTCAAAGTTTCCCAATGCTACTGCTACCTATATGGCTGGCTGCAGCACCATCACAGGTTGTGCTTTGTAAATGGCAAAGCACATAGGAGCAGTGGTTCTCAACCTTTCTAGGGCCGGGACCCCTTGGTATCATTTGCCAAGTTGTGGTGACCCCCAAACGTAAAATTTAGTGATGCACCAATACTAGTACCTGTGTGGGCTCTCAGGAGGCTCTGCGGGCTCTCAGTTGGTTAGTGGGACTCTCTGGTGGCATCCAGTGCGTGCTCTGTGGTGCCCAGTGTGGGCTCTGTGGTGCCCAGTGCGGGCTCTGTGGTGATCAAGCACTCACCTCCCCTCACTCCTGCCTGCTCCCCTCTCTCTGATCCTCCCCGGCCACTGCAGGGCCATCTAGGAAAACTGACACTGCTGCGCTAGGAGGAGGCTGAGGAGCCTCTTACCTGGAGCAGCACATGGGGACCCCCTCAACTGTGGGTTGCGACCCACTTTTGGGTCGCAACTCACAGGTTGAGAACCACTGACTTAGAGGGAGCAGAGGCAGGACACCAGCACTGCTGTCCGATGCCTTGAGCTTTAATAACAAATGCTGATATGGACTTGCGATGCTAACACTGTCTTTATGCGGGGCGGGAGAATAGCACCGAATTGGCCAAATCTATCCATCACCCCAGCTGTTTTAGAATTCTCCGACTTCCATCTCACGAGGCCACTTTAAATGCATAGCCCAGTTTTTGCACAAAAAATAAAATAAATGCATACACATTAATAAAAGAAAAACATGTGCATTTATTATTTTCTTGCATCTGAGCATGCAAAACATTGCAACCATGATCAATGGATTGTGGGCACGATGTTCTAGATCCTGCACTCTTCTTCTCAGCCCCTGTATCAATAGACTACAGGTGTAGTGGCGTCACCGCACTTGTACTGCATTGAAAACTACGGGTCCCTCTGCTGCGGTGGTAGACGGGCCCTGTAGTCTCTCCAGTCATAGATACTGTGAATGGATCTGTGAATAGATGACGTGGCTGTCTGGGTCGAATGACAGCAGCCTGTGAGAAAAAGAGCTCCATGATTCAGGTATGGGGGGGGAGGGGGGTGTGTATATATAGCCATGTTTGATAACATGAAGCATGGTTAGAAAAGTAAACAGCCTTTAGACGCCCCTTATTTTCTTATACTTCTTGTTAGATATTTAAAAATGAGGGGGAAATGTTAGGCTCAACACTAATGGACCCCAGAACACATAGCTATGGGTGAATTATATAGTTAAGAATCACAAATAAAACATATTACTCAGCACCTGAAAAAGTTAAATGCAAGGAGAGAAAATTGCCTATCCAGTGTTCCAATCTAAGGCTTAAAAACACATAAATAATTACATACAAAAGCCATCCTGTGGGAGTAGACTGAAACACAAGGCAGTAATGAGACACTCCGGAGGAGCACCTCCTAAATTATCCTAACCTCACATCCATTTCAGCAACTTATCAGAACAGAAGCTAAGACTGGATGGAACGAACAGTCTCCCTACAACATACACAAACAAATATTACTGAAAAAAGAATTCAATAGAGATAAGAAAAAGCCTGCTGGTTCAGTGACAGACTCATTCACTAAAGGGCCCCTGTGCAACAACTACCCTGGGGCCCCCTAATCAATTTATTGACAAGAAAAGGTTTTGTGAATCGATACAATCTCTCAGGGTTCATAATATGTCACTGGGGACAGAGGGCGACCCCTTTCAGCAAGTTAAATTAGCTCCTGAGTCTTAAAGTGACATTAAACCCTCAGATTTTTTAACATAAAACAATACTGTAATGTGTGCCTTACTGTAATCCATGGTAGTTTCCCTTCTCTTTGCTGCTCTTCCTTTTAAATCCTGATGTCTTCTCATGCTTGGGGAGAACTTCCCTTTTCAGCTTAGGGCCTCTTCCTGTAGTGCTGGCTCAGGTTACAAGCCTATACACAGACACCGTGTATCCATTCCTGAGACAAGGCAGTCTGCTGCATAACAGAAGTTCTCCCCCAGCATGAGAAGAGAGACGGATTTAAAAAGGAAGAGCAGCAAAGAGAAGGGAAACTACCATGGATTACAGTTAGGCACACATTACAGTATTGTTTTATGTTAAAAAAAATCTGAGGGTTTAATGTCACTTTAAGGCTTAATCACACCACAGCTTTGTGCTAAATGCACATCTACCAGGTGGAGTGTTGGGGTGCCATTGAAATGAATGGCAACGCAATGCACACAACGCATGGTACTTCATGGTAAGTGGGCTGTGCAATAGTGTGCGCTAAGCACTTCTTCAAAAGAAAGAAAAAGAAAAGAAAAGAAAAAGGAAGGAAGCACTTCTCATTGGTCAGCGAAGTCATGACTATGCTGGCCAATGAGTGCTCACCATTTGAGAGCAAAATTTAAACTGAAAATCCTTACGGAGCTTCAGTTTGGGAGGACACTGCAGAAGCCTGAGCTTTGCTGCCATGATCCTGTGACCACAGTGGCAATGCTTTCCAGTATTGAATGCAAAGATTTTAAAAATGCATTTTTTTATATATATTATTAAATTATGAATTTCTTTAATTCCTGCAAAAGGTAAACTTAGACTTTAATATCATATTCTGTGTTACACCGAATTTAGGGTGCAACAAGGCGCATGGTGCCTCAAACCACACCCCTTATCTGAAACACAAGGTACTTCCCCCTGCAGGCTTTTATATCAGTCATGGCTCCGCCTGCACAGCCGCGTCATTCATTCACATCGTCTGTGAATGAGAAAAAGTCCCATCTCCCACCATGGCAGATGGATTTTTCAATGGGGTACAAGCAAGGGTTTTCAGTGGGATTGAAGTGTATTACATCACCACACTTGCATTCCCCATTGATAACTTCCAGCAGATCTATGACAGAAGGTCTATATAGCCATACAGACCTTGGGCTGAAGGAACAGTCTGCAGGGGACAGAGCATTGCATCCGCCATGCACTGAACACCGTTGCCAGCTCCAATGCAAAAATGAAATTAAAAACGCACAATTTTTCTTTTTGCACCATGGATGCATTTATTATTTTTTCCACATTAAATGGCCTATGCCTTTGATCGGCACCCCTCATCTGCACCCACAGGAAGCAGCAATTGAGCACACAATCAATTCACTAGAATATAATGACAGAAATAAAAATAAAAAATAGACCCTGTTCACCTATTGTCACCAGTTCCTAGCAAATTGACAAGATGCAAACCAAATGCATGTTAATCCAGCCCACAGAACGGCTGATTCCACTGTGCACACTTCAAAGAGGATTTAAATCCCTGACAACAAAAACGATGGGATAAACAGTCTGACGTCCCCTGGGCTGGATGAGCATCCATACACGATCGTGCATCGGGACATCGTTATCACAAAGCTATCACTAGGCCCCAGCGACAAATGATATGCGAGGCACGCGCGAGAATCGCGACAGAGATCCCCCCACCGCTCCCGAAGAGGACTACGGAAAGAGGAGGAACGGATCGGCAATTCCCGGAGGATGCTCGCAGATACACGAGCGCTGCCGAAAGGAGCCGAACACAGGCCCCGCCCACAACACTTCCGAATCCCGGCTGGGCGCTGTCCACCTCCTGAACCGCCTGAATACAGCTAAGATCGGGAGCGTGGGAACGGAGATGTCCCCCCCAAAAAAAAACAGAACATCGCAGGAAGCCCATTATCCAACCTCCAAATGCTACATATTATGGCCAAATAATTCTATATACGGGCTGAATACAAAGCCATGCACACCTAATCAAATACTGTACGTGCGACCTGATCAATTTAAAAAAATCGGGTACTAAAATCACATTATTTTCTGCATTGCACAGAACCCCCAATCAGCACATGGCCGGCACACATAACGGAAGGCTTCTACATTCATATAGGCAGCCATTTTTAATAAGGCCACCGAATCACAGAGCTACAGCTCTCAAACGGATCAAGATCGGGGCACCGGATTAAATCGCTCAAACGGTGACACATACATGGCATCGCCTGCAATCTGTCATTCATATGGGCTATGTGATCCCTATCATATAGGCAGTGAGGTGACTTCCATGCAGTGCCAACCCATACAGCACACTGACAGCTGCCCCCCCCC